TAGGAAAATAACAAAATAAATCCAAGCAAGCAGAAGGAAGGAAATAATAAAACGAACAGAAACCAATAAAATCAAAAACAGAAAAACAACAGCGAAAAGCAATGAAACCAAAGCTGGATCTTTTAAATGATCAATAAAATTAATAAACCTTAACACAGGGTCAAGGGCAAACTTGGCCCGCAGCTTTGGTTTCTTGGCACGTGCAGATTTTTAAAAATCATTGAATTAATTGTCAACATCTAAAAATTGGGAGATTTTATAAACTTCCAGATTTCCAACTTCCATTGTGAAATCAGAAGACCTGACAACACTGGCGCCCCATTCTGAATAGCACAAATCCATCAGAGCTGGGTAGTGCCTTCTCTTTCTATACTGGGTTGATCTGTAATTGGCCCAGCCGGCTTCACACATGTATTGCACCTGCCAGGCCCTGCAGGTGTCTGAGCTTGTGACTCCTGCTCCAGATAGTTCCTTAGAGCCATTTCATGGTTTGCTTGAGTGGATTTGTGGTTGATAAACTAAAATGCACCTCATAGTCCTTTTCATAAGTTCTTGTATAAGAACTAAATATAATTCACATATTCTTGTATAGGAACTAAAATCATCTGTTTCAATCATTACTAACATCTATTATTAAATTGGTATCTGAAATAGATTACTAGCTGAGATGCTGCTTAGCTGTAAGACCTTGGGCAAGTCTCTTTCCCTCTCTGGGCCTCATCTGTCAAGTGGGTTACCTGATCAGACACTCTCGCAAGTCTCACCCAGCACTGATGCTCCAAGACTTTACACGTGACCTGTAAGGAGTGCTGACAGGCAGTTGTGAAGCTAATGATGCTGAAGCTTGAGGGCCTCTCACTTGCCTGGTGACCATATGTATTTGTAAAATTACCAACTTAAGATATTTAACCACCTTGTCTCTTTCCACTCTGGCTTCCATTTATGTCCGGTCTCCTTGTTACGTTTTGTGTTCTTTTCCTTAAAGAGAATCCCCCAAATCATATAAGCTTCAGAACTCACAACCTGGACCTGCCCCCGTCCTATTAAGATGGTTATACCAAAGATGGCATTAAACTGGAGATTTGTTTCTGAGTCTGTGTAAAAAGCATCAGGTATTTTATTGAGAATTAATTAACAAGTTGTTATCTTAGGACTTCAAAAAAGGAAACACCTACTTTTCTTTCAGTTCTCTGCTTAACACGACTTCTTCAGGGCTTCTCTGTATCCCTAACACTTCATGTTCCTGTCTTATTTAATAACTATAAGCTTCATAAGAACACGACCATATCTTTTCTATTTACTGATGTGTCCCCAGCATCCATTACAATGCCTGGCACATAGTAAGTACTCAATAAATGTTACCGAATCAATGCACTAATTTATGAAGACCTATTCTATTTAAATATACCCCATCTCTTTCCATGAAGAATTTGAGACTGAGCACTTATTCTGGGCCACGCACAAAAAGTTACAAACTCATGTAGAATACCATTAAAAGTGTCGTATCAGTTTATTTGAACGCCCAAAATATAAAGCACTTTCTGCGGTGGTCAACACTGATCCAGCAGTGGAAATGCAAGCTGAAATTTATTTATGGAAGGACAACCAATGCTGAGGCTATATGAAACTCTTTTTTCTCTTCTTGCAATGCACTATACATTATTTAAAAGGGACTGAATGAGCCAGAATTCAGACTTTGATGGCCATTAAGGACCCTCCTCTTTCCATAATTAGGAACAGGTAGATTCTCCATTGGACCACCTTGACAAATAAATAAAATTCCCGTATTTCATGGTCAAATCTTTCCATTTCTTTGAACTATATTGTAGAGACCAGAGTATTGACCTCTTAAGGGTAGTGCCAGCTCATCAAATGCTCACCTTGTTTTGCCACATCCCACAGGCTAGGGGCTATCTTTCTTTCCTGCTCACATCTTCCAGTTCCAACTGCTTCAGTAAGTATTTTCTGTAATGGTAGCAGCAGCAGTGGCAAAATCAGCAGCTGAGAATAAGTCCATATGCAGGAGGAGAAAGACAATAGAGACTGGGAGGGAGAGAGACAGAAAATGTTGATGGGTTGGCAAAAGGATAGCAGAACAACAGGAAAAGAGAATTAAGAAGAGAAAATGATATGGGAATTACATAAACTGATTACATAATCTCATAAAACTGAGATTTCCAAAAGGAAATGGAAATCTTGGAAGGTGCAACAACTTTGGAGCTAAGAAACTTCTGTGCTCATATTATAAATACCCACCAGAAAAAAATAAACATTTGGGTGAAAAAGAACAGGCACGTCCTCTCTCCTTGGGTGGATGCTTGTGAATGCTAGTTTTAAATCCACTACAACAGTTTGCCCTTGGCCTGCCATCCTTGTCCTGAGCAGCAAAGAGATGTGGGTGGTGTGGGCATGGGAGAGGGGCTACCCATGTGGCATGCCATGACAGGTTTTCATTTTCATTTTCCTCAAGCTCTGTGGGTGCTCTGCACCTCAAATTCCCAGCTCTACTCTGGATAATGAGGAAATTATTGGCCTGACCTAGTCCTTTAATTTTTTTTCCCACTCAGGCTTGAGCTTTCGTTAGTTTTCTTTTCTCATTAAGAGAAAAATCAAAGTGTGAGAATTAAACACCTCCTGATTTATTATCTTACTGAAAATGGGAAGTTGAGAGTCATGGAGCTAGAACTGAGTGAAGGGTGCAGCCCATGAGATGAGGGAGCCACCACTGTAAGATACCACGTCAGCACGCAATGGCGGCCCTCCTTCTCTTCCCTCTTGAGAACAATGGGGAGCAATCTAATACCAAGAAATACTTCGAGTCTCTACGCTTAGGACTCAATGTTGTAAAATCTAGCACCTTCTCTGAGCAGAGATAATAGGCTCAAATCATATTGGATATTCCTCCTTTCAAGTTGGGGTTGGATTTGTGTTAAACCTTTCTCCAGGACTCGATTGTGTGTTTACCCCCATAGATGCTACTCCTCAGGTATAGAGGCCATGTCCAACTCATCTGTTAATTCCCTACAATACATAAGGCACATGGCAGGTGCTCAACAAATGAATGAAGAGGGTAAATTAATGTATGCACGCCAAGATGAACTGACTGCTCTTAATTTGCGTGTTTGTATGCATATTTAATAATACCCTGCCTCACTGCAAAAAGGGAATAAAGACAGTATGGCGGGTTCCTCAAAAAAATTAAACATAGTATTGTCGTATGTAGTACGATAGTAGTATGTAGTAGTAGTAGTATCGTATCATACTGTTAAACATAGTATGATCAGCAATTTCAATTAGGCATATGTAAACCCAAAAGAATTGAAAGCAGGGACCTAAAAGCAAGATACTTGCACACCAGGGTTCATAGCAACACTATTCACCACAGCCAAAAGGTGGAAACAACCTAAATGTCCATCAATGAATGAACAGATAAACAAAATGTGGCGTATACATAGAATAGGATATTACTCAGCCTTTAAAAGGAAGGAAATTCTTACACATGCTACAAATGGATGAACTTTGAGAACATTATGCTATGTGAAATAAGCCAGACACAAAAAAGACAAATATTGTATGATTCCACCTATAAGAGGTATCTAGAATAGTTCAACTCATAGAGACAGAAAGTGGAATGGTGTTATCAGAGGCTGGGGAAGGGTTAATGGGGAGTTATTCTTTAATGCGTGCAGGGCTTCAATTTGGGATGATGGAAAAGTTCTGGAGATGGATAGTGGTGATGATTGCACAACAATGTGAATGAACTTAATACCACAAATTGTGCACTCAAGAGGGTTAAAATGGTAAAGTTTGTGTGTTGTATATTTTACACGATAAAACAGGAAATAAAGCAATATTCATTCAATGTACTAACACTCCTGGATCAGCCAAGAGAATATCAACACTGCCCATACAGCTTGCATCTAGTTCTATGTGGCAAAGAGGTGGTCACTGCATGGTCACACGGCTTCAAGGGAACGTAGGCCAGCATACCCTTCACAGCTGCGCACTGCCCTTTTTCCCGCGTGGATCTGTAAAAACAAGCACTGGCTCTGACATAAAATGCACCTGCCTCCCGAGCTTCCAAGGCTGGAAGTTACAGGAGAATCTTCCCTGTCCCTTGAGTTGCACACCACCTGAGGTTTACTCATTTATTGCTGCAGACCAACCTCTAAGAGACAAAAAAGCAGTCAATCTATTTGGGTTCACTCTTTCAAGACTCCCAGCAATGTCATACAGGGAGTTAGAGTTCAGCATTGCAGACAGAAGAGACTGGATCTGAATTTCAGTTCTCCAAATTATTAGTTGGGTAGCTTTGGGCAAGTCACTTAAGTGAGCCTCAGTTGCCTCATCTATAAAATGGGAATAGTACTGTGCCTACCTCGCACAGTTGTGCTAAGGCTTAAATGGACTAATAACATAAGTGCTTAACAGAGAGTCTACAATAAAATGAGTATTCAATAAATACAATTTTCGCATAAGAGATACAGTACAGGTGGTAACAGGGATGGAGGGGGAATGTCATGCATGTCGTAACAGGAGTTGAAATATATCAACTCTACAATCTGAACCTTGCACAGGCCAGCCAGCAGGAGGAGCCTCAGGAGTGAGCAGAAATACCAGCAGGAGATTAAATGGGGCTCTCTGGGGAGACTCGCAGTTCCCAAAGAATCCTTTTTACTGTTCCTCTGTTAACTCATTCCTTAATCTTTTGGGTAGTTTTTCTCTCTCGTGATAGACATATACCTTTTTCTCACATGTACTAGAAAGTTTACTCATTCGTGCTTAGGAAATGTTTTGAGACCTGTGAATCCAAAGAACTTAGGGTTATGTTAATATAATGCCAAGTAAACAGAAAACCCATCAAGGAGAGTTCCAGGGTGGTTATTCCCATCAGTGTGGACGGACCCTGACTGTAGAATAACGCTGCTCCTTCCGTGATCTCGGTCATTGATAGTGTTGAATTAAACTCACTAACTTTAATTATTTTCTTAATTACTCAGGTGCATCTTCCCAAAACCTGGAGACATTTATAGAAAGGTATGTGGAAGAGGGATATAAGAAGTTGTTTTTAAATTGGGTTTCTTATTTTGAAAAACCAATGAAAACTCTCTGTTGTTGCCCCGTAATCACTTGCACTGAGCAGCAATGGCTTGTTATTTACTCTCCAAACACTGGGATATTATCACTTCTTGGGCCAGTGAGCATGGGAAGTGATTAATTTACATAAGTCCTTAAAGACGGATCATAAAAATCCATACAAAGCGGGTAAAACCTAGATCTGCCCAAAGTATCTGAAAAAGACAAAAAGGATTATTTCATAATTTCATATTCCCGCTTTATGAGCAACAAAACAATTTTGTGCTCATTTGGGGCTTAAAATTCAGAAGCAAGGCTCTGGGTGCCCAGAATGGAAACCGTGGGAAACCCTTGATTTTTCAAAGTTGACTACAGGCCCACAGCTGTCAGGATGTCCTACGAATCTGGACATAAATAACCCAGGTAACTCACCTGTGTTTCTCAATGACAAATGCTGTGAATGATGCTAAGAAGATGGTAGCATGTCCCCCTACTGGTGACTTCAATCTACTCTTCAATTCTATGCATTTATGTGGTCTTTCCCTAATAGGGAAGTAGGTTAAAGATTATAGAAAAGAAAGAGGGAAATGATGATGGTGGAATGAAAGAAAAACAGCAAAAAGTTACTAAGAGGGTGATCACACAAAGATTCTTTCACAGGCTCAGCCTGTGATGGTTAAAACGCTGATTTTCCAAGTGTTTGACATTTAGATTCCATCTATGGCTTCTCAGTTTGTCTAGGAACCAACTGTTGGACCATCCAGCCATCGTCATATATGCCATGATTGGAAATGATGTCTGCAACGGGTGAGTTATTGAGAAAGAAGGTTTTGAAAATTCTTTGGCTCTGGGTTTCCCCTCTTCTCCACTCCACTCCGCTCCACCCCACTCCACTAGCCTGCTGTTGAATTGAATTTCTCTATCTTAGCAAGTCCTAGACACATGTGAAATCCACGGAACCAACCTGTGAAACTAAAAGACCCTTTTAAAAATATCCAATCCATTAATTCTTTGCTCTGATTCACAACAAATGGGTGTGTCATGATCAGTTCTGAATTGTATCACAAGAAATATGCTACTACTAGCCAAGAATCCAAGACTGAGAATCATGACTTTTTAAATAAAATAAGGCAGAATCACGGCTACCCCGTAAGAACAGCTTCCTCCCTCATATTCTGACATGCGTACTTGTGTGGTGGAGAGAGCATAGACTTAGAGCATTTGCAAAGAAACTGCACATAATTCACGGCTAATCCTATTTATGCCCATAGCCCATAGTAAGAAAGCAGTTTTGCTAAACTGCTAATTTGTTGTTAGTGCCGTCATGTCGATTCCAACTCCTAGCAACCGTGTGCCCAGCACAGCAGAACCCTGTCCAGTCTTTTTGGGTCATCCTCTCGCCTTCCAAGGCTATATCAGAGGCTATATCCAAGGCTCCACTGCTATTCATGGGGTTTTCATGGCCATTTTTTCTAGAAGTAGGTGGCCAGGTCCTTCTTCCTTGTCTGTCTTAGTCTGGACGCTCTGCTGAAACCTGTCCACCATGGGTGACCCTGCGGTTATTTGAAATACTGATGGCATAGTTTCCAGCATCACAGCAACATGCAGCTTCCACAATCTGGGATGTGGTTCCCTGACTGGGGCAGTGACAGCACCAAATGTTAACCACTAGACCACTAGGACTGGCTAAACCGCTAATATCAGCAGTGATTTCAAAATGTTGAATGCCTTAGTTCCGCCACAACATTTTGGAAGCTTTCTCAAAATCTGTGTGTACCCCTAAGAATACACTGCACATGTGAATGCCATCTGTCCTGTGATCATGGCCAAAAAGAAAAAAAAAGTTGAGATCAGATCTAGAACAACTCTGCAGTAGCCATCCACCCACCATTTAGAAAACAGAAAAGCAAAGCCAAGAGAGGTCACGTGGCTTGCCTGATTAATTGATTAATGGCATAGCCAGACTCCAGCCCAAGTGGTACTAGAAGTAGACCATCCTGCTCCCTGCCTACCCTTTGTTTTCCCGTACTTCACTCACAAAGCTCTCTAAGCCTGTGCTAAAAACACAGTTCAGTATTATTAAAGTGTGTTTACCCTAAAGGATACCCTCACGAAGTCCTAGAACTCTTATGGTGAAGAAGTTGTAGACCTAATCAGTGACGTGAATTCAGGGCAGGAGATTCAGAGAAAGACTACACCTTGATTCAGAGATGCTGATGTTCCAGATCCTGCCTTGGCACCCCCTAGGCTGGTTTACTGCTCTCCCCAGAACCCCAAGTCTGCCAAGGCTACATGCTGGCAACTCAAGTCCCAACCTCAGTGATGAGCCTCTGGAACTCTCTGGTAAGTGGCAAACACTCCAAAACTTTCCATAAGCCAAGAGCCACACCACTCTCTATATCATCTCCTCCCCACAATAGCCCTAAGAGGCAAGTATGATTGTCCCCATTTTACAGATGAGGAGACTGAGGTTAGGCAAGGATAAGGAACTTGCTTATACTGCTATTGAAAAGCAAACCTGAGGGCTGGCCCCGTGGCTTAGCGGTTAAGTGAGCACGTTCCGCTGCTGGCGGCCCGGGTTCGGATCCCGGGCGCACACCGACGCACCGCTTCTCTGGCCATGCTGAGGCCACGTCCCACATACAGCAACTAGAAGGATGTGCAGCTATGACATACAACTATCTACTGGGGCTTTGGGGGGAAAATAAATAAATAAAATTATTAAAAAAAAACAAAAAAGAAAAGAAAAGCAAACCTGAGAGCCAAGCCAGGTTCTCTGACTAAATTCTGGCTCTTTCTACAGTCCACATTTCTTTTATTTGCTTTCTTTTACTCATTCACTTTTAAAAAGTGTGTATTGACCACCCATGCTGTACCAAATGCTGTGCCAGGCTCTGAGATACAATGACAAAGAGGCCACAGTCCCTGACCTCAAGGAGCTTATGGAAGGAGAAGCATTGAGCTTCAGGCCCCAGCCCTATCACAAAACAAAACAAACCTATGGTCAGATCCACCAGTGCCCCTCCAGCCTCTGGATCGTGTTCCCCTGGAGGGGGCAAATAGCAAACTGGTTATACTGAGTGAAGAACATCTGCAGAAAGAGGCTTTGACTGCAACAGCCAGAATCTCTAAAACTGCACTTTTCCAGCAGAACCTGCTTAGCTAGAGGCCCCTCCAGCCCAACCCTACTTTTCCTTTTCTAAAGAGCCAAAGGGCAGGCAGACATCCGCCGGAGACCTGGGCCAGGCTCTCCCCACACCGGGGATCTGGGCAGAGAAGCAGCAAGCATTTGGGTGAAAGAATGGAGTTGGCAGTGTGGGATGTCCCTGCGGTGCCCACTTTGCAACGTCCTGTGGAGGGGTTAGAAAAATAGAGACAGATGGCAACTCTACCTCCCCATCTGCCAGGACATCAAGGTGGAGCAGATAACCCAAAATGAGCAAAGTGATTTCATAAAAAGCTCAAGCCAGCAACGAGTTGCATAATTAGTCTGTCCTGGAACATGTTTGGGGATATTTGCTTGACTTTCTTCTTTTCTTTTTTTACAATGATGCTAGCTCTACTGAAATAATGCAGCCATGTGCTTCTTTCTCAATTCTATAAACACATGTAGTTACTCAATGAATGAAGGTCATGATTGGAAGATAGCTTTTAGCATCCAGAATTCAAGGAGAAAAATAATATAGACGACTCTAGCTTTCTCATTGTAACTCAACTTGATTTGGCCTAAGCTAACCCAGCTTCCTTGGGCCTTTCCTATTATGTCCGCAAAAGCTATGGAATGTGAGTGATAAGGAGGAGAGAATTTCCTGGAATCAGGGCAAATGTGAGTGACCTATAGCAGCAGAACCTTGGGTAACAGGGGCAGCAATGGGAAATGGGAATGGCTCTTAATAGCCTCAAATCATAAAGGGTGATAAGAGCTCTTCCCCAGAATCCCAACATGACAGCCCAGAAAAGCGCATTGTAATCACTGGAAATGTGATAGAATTACAAAAGCATCTGGCACTAGCCACATAAATTGACATGGTTCCGTTTTTTATAGTGGACCTAGAAATTATAAATTGCAAATTTTTCACCTAATGGAGAGAGCCAGGACCACCCCATAGAGGTTGTCTGTGTCCCCGGTCCCCAAGCTTTTTTTCTGCAATGCCAATGTTTTGGATGTCACCCAGGGCAGCTGATCATTACTGCATTAAGCCAAGGTGGTGACGGGTCACAGGCCGCAAGGAGCCTGGTCTGCCGGGAAACAAGCCATTCCATCCAATCAAACGGTAGAAAAACCAGCAGGGAGGGAAATGGACACAACTCCTGCTGCTCAGAGGAATTGTCTCTCCTGGCCTCCTCGGTTGAGGCATGGGTGCTCAAGGGAATGATACGGAGTTTCCCAAGAAGCCAGCATATTCCAGGGCAGAGCTACTTACAAGGGACCCAGGATGTCTATGCATGTGGTAACATGGGCCCAGTGAGTCCCCAGCCCATTCCCAGTCTGTGTCAAGATGTCCCTTCAAGAGGGTTGGGTGGGAGGCCTGAAGTAAAGGGCTAACTCTACTTCCTGGATGTTTCAAGAACTCAAATGCCAGCTGTGGGGGAGGTCTGAGCACCCAATGATGAGAAGTCTCTGACCTTTAGTTCTGGTTCTGGGAAAGCTTTTCCGCAGAGGCTGCTTGCCTTCTTCCTTGAGAGGTGGCACATCTCTCTGGCATCAACTAGGTGAAATTGGGCTGGAATACCTGCCAGGGTAATAAAGTGATCACGGCTGGCCCTGCACCCACGTCATGAGGCTTATTTTGCATGACCAGACACAATTCATTAGGACAAGGACAGGCTCTGAGCCACCCAAGAGGTGAGGCTCTTTATCTGTTCTGGGCCCGACCATGTGTTCCTGACATGCATGAGAGCGTGGCGATGGGCAACAACTTCTCTCTTGTTATTTTCCCTGGCATAAGCATCATGTCCCCCATGCTGGTTCTCAAATTTCTCCTCTGTAAGCTCAGCACCCCCAACCCGTCACCTCCATCTGAGAAACTGGTGTGAGCTTTTCGGTGTGTGAGGAGGGACGCGGGACACTAGGGTGGACAGGCAAACCTGGGATAGAAGGCAAAGTGGATCTGACCCCTGGGTGGAAAAAGGTTAGACACTTTCAGCTCAGCTCTTTCAGACTTTGACTCATGTCAGAGAAGGCCTAGGAGATGTTTCCCAAACCACTGGGACTCTTTGATCTCCAAAATACTAGTCCTAAGTCCCTTCAAAAACCAACAGAAGTGAAAGAGTACACAGATCAAAATCACATTGAGAATTTTCCAGGGTCAGAGTCCAAAGGCACCTTCTATGGCATCCAATTATGTTGCTGTCCACAATAAAGCAAAGCTGACTGGAGAATGTTCCGTTAGCAACATCGAGGCTTCCATTTTGATTTTACTTCGTAACTAGCCATTTTGGTTATTCTTTGCTAATTTGCAGGGTACTCTTTCATAAGCACAAATTAGCTCAGATTCTGTATTATTATCAGTGTGGTGTCTCTAACCAAAAAATAATCATTAAATAGGGAGTTTGGGAGACTTCACTCCATCTTAACTCATCTTGCCTTTATGTGGTTGGAGAGGCTTAGCTCAGCTAATTGCTTTGTGCCAAAATGCTAATGCATCAGTAGGAGAGAAAAAAATGAGATGCCAAGGCAAAAGTTAACAGGTAGTGTGTGCCAGCTTTACCAATGACAGACGATGACAGGATATAGACACCCAACCTACTTTGGTTTCACCCCTGCTGTCATACTCCAAACACACAGTAAACATAAAACTTGCTTACTCTGGGTGGGTTCTCTTGGTCTGAAAAAACCCACAAGGCAGCCTGAATCCCTTTCACAAACTAGGATCCTTCCAGTGCTTCTGTGCATATGCAAGTCGAGCCAAAGCCCTTACCCAGCCTTCTGCCCCTAATAGGAAGGCAACCTATTCTTAAGTCCTTGGGAGAGCTTTTTATGCAGGTTAGGGAGATTTTTATCATAAAGTAGTCTGTTTCTTTCCAGGGTAACAAAAAACATGAAATTAGTATTCTGTTCTACATGCTGGGGTTTTATAAAATAGGGCATTTTTTTTCTTTCTTTCTTTTTCCTTTTTTAGAAGTGTCCAAGCAACTCGTTACACAGTGTGGAAGCATGTACACCAACCACAACTAACAGCCTACTGGCTGCCCCAAACATCAGACTTGCCCCACAGTTTCCTCTGTGGGGGTACATGTTGCTTGTCACACATTGGCCTGTGTGATCTGCACACCCGTGGTCAGCCTGTCGCCTGCTGGGTAGCAGCAATTTGGGAAGTGATTTTGTTTGACTAAGTGAAATAGGTGGAGGGGAAATGACATAAAATTACAACATTTTCTGTCCATCTCATTAAAACTCAGGCAGAGTCCAGTTTTCTTCCCCCTCCCTTTAGAAAGGATGAAAATGATACAAGAATCTGTCTTATTTTTATTGTTTCTCTGGCTACAAAATAACATCTGTTGTGAAAAGTTCAAATAATTCAAGGCTTAGAAAGTGCAAGTTTCCCCATAATTACTCCCTACCACCCCCCACCATCCTGCTCCAAGCCAACCAATTGAGACAGTTCGATGTATTTGCATCCGTATTTTTTCTATGCAAATTCTAATTTACATACGTTAATATTCATTGAAATGAAATAATATTATGTTTACTGCTCTGCAATTTGTTCTTTTCAATCAACAATACTTTTTAGCAATGTTTTCCGTGCTAATACATACAGATTACTTCATTCTTTTTAAATTTTTTTTATTTTATTGAGGTAAAAGTCACATCATGTAAAATTAACCATTTTAAAGTGAACAATTCAGTGGCGTTTAGTACATTCAGAATGCCATGCAACCATCCCCTCTATTTAGTTACTTCATTCTTTTTAATGGCTGTATAGTGTTCTACTACATGGATGTACTACAATTTATGTAGCCAGGCTTTTTAGCTTTTTCCAGTTTTACACTATTCCAAGCAATGTTGCAATACTTGTATGTATATTTTTGCACCTCTATGGAAGTGTTACAATAGGACAACTTCCTCAAAGTGAAATTTCAAGGTCAAAAGTTACGCCAACTTCAAATTTTCATACATTTTTAAAAATTGTCTCCAAAATGACAGTGCCAATGTCCATTTAGGAGCTCCCTTAAAAGTGAGAATAACGGATACACCTGGGGGCTTCTTTCTGTCCCCTCTTCCCATGTCACCCATGCCTTGGGCCCAGCCTGTGAGCAATGGACTTACTCTTCTGGTTTGGGATCCATATTAAGTTCCCGAGGGCTACTGTAACAAAGTACCACCAACTGGGTGACTTTGAACAACAGAAATTTATTCTCTCACAGTTCTGGAGGCTAGAAGTCCAAAATCAAGGTGTCAGCAGGGCCATGCTCCCTCTGAAGGGTCTAGGGAGAAGTCTTTCTTTCCTTGTCTTTTCACACTTCTGGTGGCTCCTGGCAAGCCTCAGAATTTCCTGGCTTGCGGCTGTAAAACTCCAACCTCTGCTTCCAGCCTCACGTGGCCTTCTTCCCTGTGAGTGCGTCTGTGTGCCCCCTCCTCTTCTTATAATGATAGGAGTTATTGAATTTAGGGTCCACCCTAATCCACTATGACCTCATCTTAACTTAGCTGATTACATCTGCAAAGACTCCTTTTCCAAATAAGGTCATATTCTGATGGAGAGTATTCAACCTACTACAGGATCATTAGGCAAATATGGAGTTTTAGGGACTCAAAATAGAAAATAACTTATAGTATTATTCCACTTAGGTTAACAGCAGGCTGTTTAAAGCCTAAAGAGTAGATGAAAATCTTAGAGAATTCTATATTCTACTCCCAGGTTAATGCAGGTTAGTATCTTAATTCAAACTTGATGAGTTCCTGAAAGTGTGTAAAAAAGTTAACTGTGCAAAAAATGAGCAATAATAGACTTATATTAAATCCAAAAAATATTCTGGCACCCCTATTTACACCTTTCCTTTTAAACATAACTTGAAAGAAAGACAGAAAGAAAGAAGGAAGGAACGAAGGAAGGAAAGAAAGAAAGATTAATGTAAATGGAACTTTCAATAATGTATTTTTAGTATTTTGTACATTTCTTACTTTTGTTCTTTTCCAAACCAAATGAAGATAAGTCAACTAGCTTAAATGCAATAAATGTCTGATTAAAGCTAAAGGTTTGCTACTTTCAGTTCACTTCTGATTTCTATCTTTGTCTTAAATTCTTTGATTTTAGGCCTATGCTCTTTCTTTCATCACTTTCTTTTTCTGTTTTCACTAACTTTCATGAAACAGGAAGAGAAAAATATTATTTAAAATTTCAAATACACTCTATAGAGCACAAACACTACTACAGAGAAAAGCAATGATGCAAATTGGAATTGCCTATTGGCAGATATCATTGCAAGGGTATAGCCTGGAATAGCGGTCTATCAGGAAATTCATGAAAATTCAAATTTAGTGTAGAAAGGAGGGATGTAGTGTGGACACATAATGTCGCTTCATTTCTCAGTGAAATTCTGTTTCCCTAACTGTGATATATGTGAAAAGTTTTAAAGACCAAGTTGCAGATCTCAAAGTGTCAAACAAATAATAAACAATACCAGATTTCTTTGATTCCCATTAACTGTGTTTGTCAGTCAAGATAGGTGAGGTTATGCTGCAGGAATAAACATCCCCTAAAATCTTAGTAGCATAAAGCAACATTTACTCACACTACATTGTCCATCAGGGATTACCATGGGGCTCTGTTCCAGGACTCAGATTCATGAAGCGACTGCTATCTAGAACATTGCCCAGACCCATGGCAAAGAAAAAGAGCATTGTAGAAGCTCTCATACCATGCAACAAGACACACATCACTTCTGCTCAGACCTAATAGGCCAGACCAGTCGCATGGCCCACCCAACCACAAGGGAGTCAGGAAGCCAGAAATATTTTGCAAATAGCACCAATAACCACTACATTGTGTGTGTGTGGGGGGGGGTATCTTGTACTTGCATGCATCTATCCTTATAATCTACTTTCTGTTTCTTTTACCAACAGAAAGAATGATCCAGTTCCAGAAATGACCACTCCCAAGAAATTGTACTCCAAAGTCATGCAGACTCTGCAGTATCTAAATTCTCACTTGCCAAATGGCAGCCACGTTATTTTATACGGCTTACCAGATGGAACCTTTCTCTGGGATAATTTGCACAGCAGATATCATCCTCTCGGTATCAGTTTGAAGATACTTATACTCTTTAATAATGTTAATGTATACATGGTCCACATTTATGTAGTTCAAACTGTATAAGAATGCACCTAAAATGCACCACAGTACGTAGGTCAGAATGGATGAAGGGAAGAGCACCGAGGTACAAGATCTAAAGATCAGTATCCAAAGGTGGGCAGAACCATATTCAAAGTCAGAAAGGGCAGAAGTATTTAATGAAGACAAATTGGAAGCTAAGAGTTTGAGTTGGGAAACTCCTTTAAGTGAAGGTGAAATCTAGAATAAGCCAATGAAGCCCAAACAAGAGATGGAAAGCCCTGAGTCAAAGGGAAGGATTTCTCCAAACCTCAATGGTGAGTGCCCCCTGGTAGCCATTCAGAATTCTATAGAACACGGTCTTCCAGTGGGCTTGCTCCCTGCTTCTACATTCTCTTGGAGCCCTTGGCTCTGAAATGCTTTTAAAGTTCCTTACAAACATTGTAAAAGTAGTAGTAACTCACATTAGGAAGGGCTGCCATGATAATCCTTAAAACAATCCTGTGAGATAGATGTTTTCATTAATTCCATTTTATAGAAGAAAAAACAAAGGCTCAGAGAGGTTAGGTAGCTTGTCAAATGTTGCAGAGCTTGTTGTGTATGTAAGCTGGGTGTAGCAAGGCTCTCTTTCTGTGTTTCAGGGGAGAATATCCTTTCAAAAAATATTTGTTATATGCCAGGCACTGTCTAGGCACTGGGTAACCATCAGTGAACACAATAGTCAAAAGTCTCTGCCAACATAGGCTTATATTGCAGTGGGAGAAAGACTCCAAAAGTGTGTCAGGGATGGTAAGTGTTACTAGAGAAAATTAAGCAGGGAAGGGAGGTAGGGAGCGCTGGCCTCAGTCCTCTCTGACAGATATCTACAAGGAGAGGCCTGGTAAGCTCCCCTCTGCCCCACATCCACAGCACCTGTGCCAGTCTCTCATGGAAAGGGGCTGCCCCTTCCCTGGTATTGCCATAGCCACCTCCTTAGACCAACCCAAGCTCAAGTGTGCTGGAGGTCCAAGCAGTTTCTACTGAGTCAGGTGAGCAATTCGAAGGAGGAAGATCTGAAACTCCTTCCTCAGTGCCCTTCTCAGGGGGCGGGGTGGAGAGCTTTCCTCTGCATATATAACTTCTCTGTAGCTTTTCCATCTCCTCTTTTTCTCCTCCTACAGTCCCTTTTTAGCCTCCCTCAGGAAGTTTCACCCCTCCCCACACAAGAAAAGATCAGGGTCCCTTTAACTGGTTCTCAAATGTTTCTGGTCCCTTCACTGGGGGGACAATTGTAAACACCCACATTCCAGGCTCCCCACCAACAAGATTGAAGTCATTTTCCTCTTCAGTTACCAAGTGTGCCGCAAACGTTATTCTTATCCAAGCAGAACACTGTCCAGCCTTGCATGAGGAAAGCACATTCCTCCTGTTCACCCGGCTTTGACACGTGCCCCTTAGAAGTGACAACGTGACCACACAGAGGAGAACTTGACTCCATTCTGGGCTGCCTTGGACACATAAAGGACAACCACTTGGGCTGAGAATGTCTCTTTGACTTATCCCACCGTGGATGAAAATTTCAGTTCCCCCAACAGATGTTTTCAGATTCCTAGATTTCTCACGTGCTAAGAAATGCTTGGGGAAGGGAAGTTGGAGGCAGGGGAGATGTGCTCCCAATTTACTCTGTCACACCATTAGGGACTTGACTTTAGGTTTTCTGACTTCCAATCCTATTCTCTTTCCATGAACTCCGGTTAGACTGCCTCCACAAGTTCAGACATGCCACACAATTCACTTGACTCAACGCCAGTATGTAATAACGACTCCATGCAATTTGGAAGGGAGAAAGGGTAGGGAAAAAGGTGATTGCGGGACTCATCGATCCCTTTGGTGGATTCTCTAGGCCAGTGGCTCTCATCCAGGGGCAACCCACCCACCCTCACCAGTAATCGCAACTGGAGAGGGGGTGCTACTAGCACCTAGTGGATAGAATCCAGGGATGTCCCTAAACATCATACACTGCACAGGCCAACCCCCTACAATCAAGAATGTCAATAGTGCCAAGGTTGGGAAACCGTGCTCCAGGCTTAGCCTTGTCCTTAAATGGCCTCTCGGCAGCCACTAACCATGCACTAGCATTTCACAGCACACAAGGGAAGAAGGAAAAGGGGGAACAAGTTTGTTCTACATAAACAACCCTGGTTTGAAAAAAAAGTCCAATTAGAGAGAAAGCTGAAACTATCTAAAATTTGTTTAATGTTTTTAAGTTATTATTCATATCCTAAATTATCCCTGCTGCCTGGTTGTCATGGGAAATAAATTATAAACTCCTCAACGAAGCATCAGGGTCCTTCCTAGACAGACCAGGGAAGTAGGCGGGATTTACTCAGCATCCCCATTCCTCCTTTGGCAGACTCATAACTCACTTAGAATGAGAGGCTTGAAGAGACACCTGCTGCCCTCACGTTGTCTCTGTTCTGCTCTCACTCTCAATCCAATCTTTGGATCTTCTTCATTCCCATCAAACATGAACCAGCAGTGAAGAAGGTTAGTGTTGGACCAGCCTCAGGGTTTGGTTGCTCTGCCTAGATTAGGGTGGATCTCATCTTAATCAATAGCCAGTCACCCGAGTCTGATTGCCTGGGGCACTGTGCTAAGGGTTGTATAAGCTAGTAAAGGGAGTTTTCCATTTATTTCTGTCTTTGAGCCTAGAATCATGATGATGATAATCTCTAGACTTAACTTTAGCCACCCCTTAAGGGGTAAGAAAGAGGTCAGAGAGCAGAAGGGGTCAGGGGGGAACCCCTGGATCAGCAATACATTCTCTGCTGCCTCAGTAGGACAGGTAAGAACTCAGCCTGACCATTGAGTAAAGAAAAAGCTAAATGCCACAGCATTAGATCAGAGCAGCAGGTAATGGAGGCCCAGAATAAGAATAGTTCCCAGCTCACTCCTGCCAGGAAGGAGGAAGTAATGAATCCCTCCTGGCATCTCTCCTCTTCACCATGTTTGTGAGTCACTACTAGTCAGTGCCTGGCTGCCAAGGGCTGTGCCAGCCCCACAATTTCCACCAGTAATTGAAATTCCTGGCAATAATATATTGTCTTTTTGAGGAATTACCAGAAAGTAAGTGTCACATGTTAGGATTCTACTTACATTGATCTTTTGAGAAATGTCAAGCTTGGCCAAGCATGAGTCCTCACACGCACAGTCTATGAGGAAGGCAATCTTTCTATAAATATGTCTGAGATACCTATTATGTGCTTTGGGGGCAAAGATGGTGCTAAGATGGAGTCCTTGTCCTCAAAGGAGAAAGAAAAGACAACTCCAACAGGGAAAATAGTATATAGATCCTGACAGTGAGATTACAGAGTGCCGATGACACTGGTACAAGCCATAGGAATTCTGAGAGCATCCGAAGGTTAGACTGTGGTCAAGAAGTTTGGGATTGCTAGCTACCAAATAAGTCTGCAAGTAGACCTTCCTTGAAGGGCCTCTACCTCAAAAGATCAACAGTAACAACTTAATTTTACCCCAATTTCTCTTAAATTTGAAACCTAATGTATCTCAAAATACCCTGTAGTATACCTTATATTTTATTACTAGCTTCCTCTCTGTCTAAATGAATGTGGTTTTACTGAGGTTTAATACACTCAGGTGGTATTTCATGGAGGTGTGGCTGATCTTTGTTGGTACTAAGCTTTTACAGTGACTAAAATTTCAATTATGGTCCCAGCATTAAATAAATGCCAAAGACTCTGCCCTAAAGAACTTACAAATGACTGACACTCAAGCTGCTACCATGACCAGCTGAGGTAAAACATACCCTTTCATCTTCAGAGGGAGCATATGGCATCCACTGGCCGGCCCACTGGTTCTCCACCCCTTAGACACACACACACACACACACACACACACACACACACACACTGTTAGTTCCTCTGCCCTGATAGTTCCTGGCCACTGTGGGATGGTCCTCCTGCTCCTGTCCTCAGCATTCTTGACCAACTTTCTTCACTAGATTCACTTTCTCACTAAGGAGTCACGGACACTGCCTCTTTACAGGTACAACAAGTAGGTAGGATCAGTCTTTGTCCCAGGGCTCCTCAATATGCAAAAATACTATTAAAGTAACAGGGATAAAATGTAATATTTGAAAAGAAAGATTAAATGACCAGCTGACAGTGCCAGTAAGTGGAGAAAAACATAAGAGCTCTTTTCCCTATTCTGTTTCTTTATATCATAAGCCCAGCACAAGCACTCCTAACCAACATTCCACATGACCAGCCACAGTCACTCTACCCCCTAATAGGCAGAAATACCAGAGAGAAGGGAAACCAACTCCTTACACCTTTTCCAGTTATCTTCTAACTACAGCTAACATGCCCTTATCCTGTTCAACAGACTCGCTACTCATCTAAGGATTTTCTCTATATCAACTTGCTCCAATTAGAGTCCATGCCACAATAGCAAGGAGATAGAGGGGAAAGGGGCAGTGATTTAGAGAAGGTCCAGAAGGAGGACATGCCTTGTGGTCTCATCCTAAGGTGTGCTGGGACCTCAGCAGTAGGACACTAGGAAGAGGGGAGTAAGCTGTGATGTAACAAGCCCATGGCTGGGCTTAACCCCCGAGGGAGGGCCAGCAGATGAGTCCCCAGTATCCAGGAGCAGGACAAACTCCAGTCCCTCTGGATAACAGAGCAATCCAGGCCTGTAGGTGGCAATGAGAGGGTGCAGGAGTGTCACCTGTGGTCAGGCATGAGCTGCCACCTCCCCCAGGTTGAAGAGACTTCAGACACTGGGCAGTGGAAAGAGAGAGGCCACCTCTCAGGGAGAGGGGACCTGTCAGGACCAAGCAGGGTGTCAGGGCCCCAGCCAAGCTACCTAAGTTTTATTACAAGGCCTGGTCCCAACAAAGAAACAAGATGGCAGAGGGAAGGCTGCAGATCAGGGGCAGTCCCAGCAGGGGGCAAGAGCCAAGTCATTCGGGCACACAGAGGATCGAGGGTGGGGAATGCAGGTTGGAGGTGTCCATCACTGCAGCTGGGCTGACTGAGACAGGCAGGGACACATGCAGAAAGGAGGTAAATTATAAAAAACACACACACAAAAAAAAAAATAGAGGGAAAGACGCCTCAGTGATAGAAAGCAGGATCTTAGAGAAAGATGGGAGCTCAGGGCTCCATGTTGAGGCTGTAAAACGACTGCAAAGACAGAAGCCAGTGGCTTGGGATTCATCTAAAATGTGAAGATGCAGACACTTTTGGAGAACAGAGAAGGGCTGGTGTGTAACTGCGACTTGAATGGTGATAATAAGCTTGTGGTTTTCCAGTCTTGGGATTCACTCACCCACACAGAGAGATAATATATTTTTCCTCTAAGACAAGAAAATTGAATCTTTCAGTCTAACTGATCCGAGGTATAAGTGAAAAATCAGACTGTGTTCCATCACCTTCAACCTTTCTCTTCGCTCCAAGATAGGTCCTATTGTTTTCCTTTATTTTTTCAAGCATGAGAGAAGTGTTAATGGATAAGACGTCAGTCTTTGACACCTGAGATTTGGGAGAGCCTGGATTTTGTGTCTTAGCCACAGCATGAAAGCTGAATTGCCTCTGGGGGTGGATATGCTGGAAGAGGGAGAGAGAGGGGAGATGTGTGAGCAGAGAGAAGATTCTGGGTCTATGACTAATGTTTGGAATGGCTCTGGATGAACTCGCGTATGGCACTTATCACCTTTATTCGTATGGACCTCTTTAACCTGCACTAAAAAATAAGTGTAGAGCATATCTACTAATTAGGGCTCAGATAAAATATCCCCTGGGCCTGAAGGGGTATAATGTGCTGGCCTCCCCCAGCCGGTGGCCACCCAAGCACTTTTGGAGGCCTTCAGTTCACCAAACTGCGGGACAGCACACGGTCAGACCTTCAGACACTCAGAATGTGCTTTCAGGTCCTCAGTACGGGATAATTGGGTCAGACCTGAGGGTTTCATAAATGTGGAAAGGAGGATTTGGTCAACTACCACCTTGAAGGTTCCCTGTGCCTCATGGGAACTTGGCATTTCACTCCCTTGCCAGGAGAAAGCCACTGTCCTGCAAAGTCCTTTGTTAGTGGTATTCTGGTCCATGCGGTGCCCTTGTATCCCCCTATCTGGGGTCCGGATAAGGTCAGGCCCCTCAGACGCTGCCCTCACCCATGCCAAGCACTAAAGATGGGAGTAATCTCCTTAGGGCCCCTCCCCAACTCTGGGTCTGAATTTCTAGGGGGCTCAGAAAGAAGGAAAGCCCAGGCATTCTTCAAGAGCAACACCGAATGAAAAATCAAGGCAGGTCCCTGGAACTGCCCCCCTTCTGCAAGGAGGCAGGGTCACCCACAAGTGTCCCTTGTTGGCTGCTCTACCCAAGTGCATGCAACATACCAGACCTCTCTGTCTTCCAGGCCAGCTAAATAAGGACGTGACCTATGCGCATTTCTACTCCTTCCTGAGCTGTGTCCAGGTGAGCTCGTACTGACTTGTTTCAAGGCCACACTCCCCGCTATGAGCGCTGTTCCCCTGTAATCAAAGTGGTGTTTTCCTGCTCTCAGGTCAGCCCCTGCCTTGGCTGGATGTCTTCCAACAAGACGCTCCGGACTCTCACTACAGAGGTAGGACTGTTGCGGGCTCTTTGATTCCGTCTTTGATCATTCTTTCCCTGTGTTTGCTGCAGTGTTTTCACGAGAGAGGGGATTTTGGCAGAGTGATAGCCTCCAAGCTGATGAATAAAAACATCAAACTGCTGGGGTACTTGAGGAGCCAAGAGAATGTGGGGTGCCGTGTTTGTCTCCTTCTTCCTCACGCTGGGTCTGTCGCCCTTACTGTGTCTCTCAGTCACTGTCTCTGTGTATGCCTGTCTCTCTTGTATGCACACATGCATGTACACACATACACACACACACCCCTTTCAAAGCTGGTTCTAGCGTATTTGTAGAGGCACAGAGAAGGGAGCAAGGCTAGGCTCTAGGCATGACTGGAGTCCTCCCGAGGTAAGTGAGGACCAGGTGCTTCGGAGTCTGCCTCTCTTCTCTGAGGGAACCCCTGGTTCACGCACCTCTTTCACAGTTGGTGAATAATCTCTTTGTAAGATTTATTGAATGTTTTTTACAAAACAAATATATTTCAATTAAAGAAAAACTTGGAGAATGTAAAAAAGCACAAAGAAAAATAATACAAAACACCCAAAATCTCACCACCCAAAGTTAATATGTGTGTATGTCTTTCCGATATTACTTTCATAGACAGATATTTTTGGGGTTTTGCCTACATAGCATCAGAACACACATATCATTTTATGCCTTCCAATGTTCATAAATTATTCCTCCATGTCGTAATTTGGTAATCATTTAGAGTGTACAGCATCTGAATGTACTATGATTTATTTCCTCCCCTGGTGTTGGACTTAGAGGTTGTTTCCAATTTTTCACTATGATAAATAGCATTGTGATGAACTTTTGTGTCTATATATATAGATGTATGTCTTTGTGTACCATGTCTATTTCCATAAGACAAATTCCTAGAAAAGTTATTGGGTCAAAGGGTACGCCATGTGTAATGATTTGATCCACATTGCCAAACTGCTCTCTAGATAGGTTAAACAAATTGACATTCTCAATCACCTATCCCATGGCAATATCTGTATTATCATGATTGTTCATCTTTTCTTTGCCAATCCCATGAGGGGGAAGTGGTGTCTTATTACTTTAATTTGTAGTGATTTGGTTCCTAATGAATTTTGACAGTTTTGTGTGTTCGTTGGCCGCTTGTGCGTGAGTAGAATTTAATATGCAGAGCTGCTTTCTACTGATGGCTTGGAATGGGGGTGGGGACTATGGATTTCTTTGTTCTGCCTGAATTGTCTCACTAAAGTCAAAGTCTGGGCTTCATGGAATTCTCTCTTTTTCCTTTGTACTCAGAGAGCAGAACAACTCTCCAATACACTGAAAAAAATTGCAACCAGCGAGAAATTTACAAACTTCAATCTTTTCTACATGGATTTTGACTTCCGAGAAAGTAAGTTTTGCTTGGTTTAGGAACCGACATAAGACAAAAGCAGCAGCTACAGTTTAGAGCCCACCTGGGCAAGGCGTTTATAAGCCAGCAGGCGGTAGATTAGGCAGAGTCACTCCTGCCCATTCTGACACATTAATAGTTCTGTGTATTAAAAAAAAAAAGATAAAGTGTAAGACTCTTTCTGGGAAGGTGAAAGCTCAGCATCACCTCCTTATTTTAACATCCTTTTAGAATTCCTGAAGCAATCGAGTCAGGGACCAGTTGGGAAAAGCTTTGGGCCAACAGGTCAATGGAATCACCTAACATATTCTTGCCAGCTTAGTAATGCCCCGCTTACCTATGGGCTAAAGATGAGTGTGACAGGAATGCAGGACAGGGCACTGCCTTTCATAGTGGGCACTGAATTACCTAGGGACTCAGTAACAGTGCAGATTCCCAGACACTACATGATGAAACTAATCAGAGTCTCTAAGAGAGGGACCTCAGGTTTGCCTGTGGCAAAGTGGACAACCCGTATCTCAGCTTTCTGGAAAGAGCATTATGGTTTCTTTTCTGACATTCTGTCCGAACACTGGGGTCACTGATGAGGGGTCACACAAAAACAGGCATGATTACTGGAGCTACTGATTTATCCTTTACCTCTTGACTCTGAAAAATTATTATTTATTAACTTTAATCCTTCCAGTCTCATTTTCATTGCTAAGCAATTGTTGTACAGGAGAAAAGCCTCCTGTTGATTGATTGCCAGCTGAGATGATGCTAATGAAAAGCTTTACAATGCATGCAAAGGATGGATGATTTCTCAACCAGAGTGTGTCATCTCTATCTCGCCACCACCAACACCCCCCTCACCCCAGCCCAAGCATCTGGGATGAAGCAGATGGCCATCATCAATTGTCAAATATTATATTAGCTGACAAGTTTTGCAGTGCAGACTCTAGTACTTCAATTCTGAGCATCTTTTCAACAAGACTGATCTCCCCTAACTAGATTTCCTGCCTAGGTGATACATATTTCTCTCACAGGGAGAGACATTTTGATAAATAACCTCTCATTAAAATGCAGAGTTAAAGACTCATTAATGAATTCCTGGTATAGACAAATGCACCACCAAGTGATTTTTGATCATGATCAACCTTGAATATAGATAAAGTTATTAAAAATATAATAATGTCTAACATTCACATGGAACTTTTTCATTTTCCAAAGTAATCTCTAGCTCTGTTATTTATTATCTTTGGGACTGTAGGCAATTCCCTGAACATGTCTAAACTCTCCTTTCCAGACCTGGAAATGGGGATACCATATCTACATAAATCTTTATGATGATTATATGAAATAATGTGTAATCCTCCTAAATGCCATGCTTGGTACATAGCCGGTACCCAGAAAATAGTACCATTCCCTCACCCCCTTGCTACTCAACACGTGGTTCAGAATGAGCAGCATCCACACCACCTGGAGGCTAGTTATAAATGCAGAACCCCAGGTCCCGCTCCTAATTAGGACCTACCTAATCAGAATCCACATTTTAACATAATTCACAGATGATCCATAACTCACATTAAAATTTAATAAATGGGGCTCTATAATGCTCCAAGATTAAGAACTTACTCAGTTAGTTATCAGATTTTTACTTAGTTCTACTATGTGCTGTGCAGGTGCTGAGAATGTAGTTGTCAACAAAACAGAACAGTCCTTATCTTCGTGCAGGGTATAGAGAGAAGAGCTTTATCCCTGACCCAGTACTGGCCAGCATTCCATGTGCTTAGAAGCAGAGATTTCTCAGCCTGTTCTTGTCCTCACAGCAACAACAAATGCAGTAAAAAGCAAAAAGTTCAGTTAAACTGAACTGAACATTCTACATCAACATGGCAGTTGGTCACCTTACTGAGAAACCTCCTAGGTATTTCTCCACACTTGGCAATTCTCATCAACAGTTCAAGGAATTTCCTGAGATTTTGTAATTTCGTGACATTTATTAAAAGTAAATGTGGGGCCTGGCCCAGTGGCATAGTGGTTGAGTTAGTGCGCTCCGCTTTGGCAGCCCGGGGTTCACGGGTTCAGATCCCGGGTGTGGACCCACACACCGCTCATCAAGCCATGCTATGGCAGTGTCGCTCATACAAAAAATAGAGGAAGATTGGCACAGATGATAGCTCAGGGACAATCTTCCTCACCAAAAAAATAAATAAATAAATGTAAAGATCTAGATTTGGTACAGGACCCTCTTCTCCTTCTCCTTATGAAGTTAGTAGGTACTCCACCAGGGAAGACATATGGACACACTGGGAGGAGAGTAGGGGCAGAGGAAAGGGTACCTGGGATCTGCCTCCATGAACATCTAATGCAGTGTCATACATTTAACATCTAGGTGCCTCCGTGTACACTTCTGAAAGAGCTGGAACTTTTTTCTAGTTTTCAGGAACTATGCTAAAGGCTTGACTTATGCCCAAAGTTAGACTACCACGAGGGAAATTTTTACTTTGACATTTTAGCATTTTCCAGAGTAGGCAGATCATCCACTCCCAGATCCATCTCTGTGAGTAACCTTCCACACCTGAGCAGCTCATCATCCTGGAAATCCGGTCTACCTCATGTGGGTGCAATGTGCTATTATAGATGGATAGAGATAGAGATAGAACTATGTTCCTATCCCAACTCAACCACAGAATAGCAGTGTAACCTCGAGTAAATTAACCACTTAGCTTTTGTTTCCTTTTGTGGAATGTAGCAATAACTAAACTGTAGGGTTTATGTAGGGATTGAGACAACGCTTGTAATGTAGTAAGGACTCAATAACTGTTAGCTGACATCCTCCCACCACCCATGATTTCACTGCCGTCTGAAATCAATATATGTAAAACACCTACTACATCCTTCCAGGGTTTATGATAGATGGATAATAAATGTTTATTCTCTTTCAATGTCCAAACCACCTCCACCAGTCATGCCTGTGAATCACTTTGAGTTACTTGGAGGAAGCTATGGTGGAAATATATTCCATTATCCCTGCAGTCTCCTTCTAGCAGAAATAAAAACCCTATAGAGCCACTTATTAAACCTGCAGTCTTAATAGTCACATGAAAATCTCTCCTCTTATTTCATATTGGAGCTGACTATTGCATCACAAATATCTTCATTTTTCATATGAGATTTATAATTTTACACCCTGTGACAGAGCAAATCACAATTGAGGGTCCCTGTCCCTTGAGGGTAAGCATGAGACCTATCTGTTCTCCAGTCTGTCAGCCTCAGTCCAGCCCTGAAAGATGATTGCTCATCTCCAAAGACTCTTTTTAGTCTCTTGCTGACTCATCCTCCAACTGGTTATGAACTAAACAGAGGCAGCAATTTTTCCTTCCTTCAGAAAATGCCAGCCCGAGCAGGTGATGTCTTTTTTCTTCATCTGTACCACACCTCCCAAACAGAGGAAGGAAAATGCCACTTGGCTGACAAGGCCATTTTTACACTGACAGTTTAAATACACCACCAGCTGCCCTCCACTTGCAAGTCAACTCAATTGGAGTAAACCTGGTTCTTAGTTCCCTCCATGTATGTGTTTGTAAAAATAACCAGTGACTTCACAGTGCTGACCAGAATGGAGATTTCTCTTTTTAGATATCTGCTAGTGTTGTTGTTCATCAAGGAGCTACCAAGTGTTTTATGAATCTTCTTCTGTGATTTCTATTGCATCTGTGAAAAGCTGGTCAGCAGCAGAGTTTGACTTTACAGATAAAGAAAATACATTGTACGCCAAATCCCAAGAGCTTGTTCATGATCATTCGAGAAGTTTAATTCAGGTTTTCTGAAGAACAAATAGGAATTCATTTATTATTTTCAATTATGGTCCCAGGTAGGAAGGAAACTGGCCGGCTTACCATGCTACCCCAACTTGGACCTTCCACTCTAAAATCAACCAGGGAAGAAATAGAGACCACTGTCGGGTATTGCATCTATTCTAAGAAGGCAAAATTTCACCCTGAGATAAACAAACTAAAAAGGGTCGCCCTGTCTAGCACTAGTCACAATACAGGTAAAGCCTTAAACTCCTGCCTATGAGTTACTGACTCTCTCTTCAAGTATTGTAATGCTGATGTCTGCAGATATGCAATGACTGGTAACCCTCGCGGACACAATTGTCATGTGAGAAAACGATGTTTTCCAGCGTGAATAGACTGGTTGTAGCCTTGGTACCTGCGTCATTTCCTTTAATACCTATTGGATTATTCTATGTGACAAGTCCTTCCAAAGGCTGGACCCCCTTGTAGTGTCCTATCAATGTGGGGGGGTCATGGAACATGTTTCCTGGCAGAGTATGTTATCACTGCCATCGCTGAGAATTGCCGGAGTCCAGTGATGATAAAACGTGGACCTCTCCCACTGCCCCACCCTAGGGTATGCCCCTGATCCCTTGCAACACTTGGCAAGTAAATATCCCTTCTCTTTTCTCGATGCTTTTGTTCCTCAGTTTTCTTTTCATAGTCCCCACATTATGAGATTGCTCAAACCTCCAAGGGGAGTAGAAGGGAGTGATCATCCCTTCTCATTTTCAAAAACAGTCACTAACGCTGATGACTGAATTATGTCCATTTGTTCCATGAAGTACAATTTCTATCACCACCCCTCCCTCCCTCTAAGGGCTGTAGTTTTTAGTTTGATAGTTAGTAATGCACATAAAATTCAAATCAAAATGGAAATAGCCTAGACTAATGTTAAGCCTAGGTGCCAAAATTGAATCACAGTACAGGAAACTCAGGTGTAAGCAAGTCTGACCTTTTAATTTAGGGCTCCTAATAAACATTTCTCTCAAGAAACACAATCTTGGCTTAAACAGTGTTTCCTTAATAGGCTCAAATTTGCTTTCCACTATTGATTTTCCAAATCTCCAGGTCACTATAATTCTTTCCTGAATTTTCTCTTGGCCAGTGAAGGCACAGGTTTGGATTCAATGTGTCACTCAACGTTCTCTGTTGTAAGAGCTTCCTACCCTCACTGGGTTGGGGGTATGGGTGGCACGCCTCAGGTCCGTGGCTTGCTGTGTATCTCTTTAATACAATCCTGTGTCTTATTCTTCCAACTCTTTACAACTTGTCAGCAGGCTCTGTCTGAGCTCTTGACTGGGCTCAATTCCCATCATCTTTTTAGCACTGCCTGGAAATTTCTTAACATCTGATAGAGATTTTCTTTCATTCTTTCTTTTCTTTCTCTTTTTAACATTTGCATAGCATAAGGTGAAACAAAACTAAAAATAAAAGGAGAAAGGACGAGAAGTTCATTGAGAACTTCGGTGAAGTAAAGGAACACAAGTAGAGTGGAAGTGATGTCACCTCTGAAGTCACGGAGGGGACAGGGAGGCTGACGTCTTACCTGGGCTGGACTTTTCCCCATTGTGGTTGATTTTTGTGCTGAGACTCTGTGGGACTGCAAGATAGCGATGAGGTGAACACTACAAAAAAACACTGAGGTGGCTCAGTGGGGGTGACATTGGCTCTGCATTTAAAGAAACTCTTCCGAATGCTTGGTGCTCCGTTAACGGTAACTTGCTGGATGTTTGGATTGGAGGGGGCTCAGATAGAGAATCAGCATAAAGTTAGAAAGTAGAAAAGCAGGACCTCCAAAAAAGAGTAGGAAACTGGCCCATCCTCCACCAGGCGAGGGGGAGAAGGAGATCCTGAACCAAGCGTGGGTGAATGCACAGCAGGTGGGTCGAGACTGGCAGGGATGGGCTCGACCAGCATCACACACCCAGGGAGGGCAGTCTGGGACCCACAGGATCTAGAGGGAAAGGCAGAGCAGCCAGAATTGAACCTGAAGCAGAAAATCTGATTCCAGGGTCGTGCCTTAAAAAACAGTCAGAACAGCAAGGCAACTGGAGATGGAGCCAAGCAAGCTTCCCGGAGGTTCTGCCTTTTATAGGACACCTACGGCCAAAGGCAGGAAAGAAACTGTTGAGGTCCGCAAGCTGGCTCAGCGGAACAAATAAGGCTTCATAAGAGTTAGTGTGGTTTAAGCATCACTGCAGCTCTGAGCTTCCTATCAGAAGAGCAGTCCATACCATTCCTTCAGAGAGATACATCATTAACCAGCAACACTTCCTCCCTTAGGCCTCCATGTGCAGGACACGGTGGACGATGTCCTCAATTCGAGTTTCACAAGAAACGCAAAGGCCATGTTCCAGGAGCTACTTCTTCTAACAAACTCCAATAAAACCCAGACAGCAAAATATAAAAGAGTGGCTCACTGGTGGCTCTTCTGCCAGGAAGAGGCCAACAGGAATTGGTGATCCCGTGTGTGGGACTCCAAACCACCAGCAGGAATTGTTTTCCGAGCTCTGAGAAGGGCAGCAGTGTTTGCAGCCCCCCTGGGGACAGGGACTGGGTAGCGAGTGGAGATGGCGTGCTGTGATATTAAGACTAATTACAAAAGCAGCACAGTATTGATTCAGCTCTGGGAAAGTCCAGCTTCTCTTGTCCAATCAAAGCCGCCAACAGAATTTCCATTCCTTCCCTTGGGGCGAGTGGGGGAAAAGCAAAGAGGGCACAGATCCCTGAGCTTGAGTTTTTCGTGGGGTGAAGATGGAAGAATCTTAGCTATGCTTGCTCCTCTCTCTGGACGCCAAGAAGTCAGGGCAAGGGCTATGCTGGGAGCAGCAGGTTTCACAGTTTTCTCTCTGGAGGTTCTCTAGGGACCTGAAATGTCCTTAAGGAGTTCTCATTGA